ATGAATAAAAACTTACAAATCCTATGAAATTATTGCCAGAGCTGCCAATACGGGCAAGCCTTGAGTCAGTCTGGTAACCTTAGCGTCGTATTCCGGACTTCGGCCGAGGCTTGTGCCAACGCTGGAATAATAAGATCGGACCAAAGTCCATACACCCGTACTGGCACGTCAGAGTTTGCCAAAGCTTTTTTAATTTCCAATGTAAACACCGGTATCTGTATCCCGGCCATGCTTTGGCATTGATTTTCTTGTCAATTTTTGCAATTCAACCTAAACAAACTCAAATGTATAATTTTTCTTACAATGCTACATTGTTTAAGTCCTTACGTTTAGAATAAAAATGTTTTCAAAGCCATCTAATTCTTATTTAGAAAACTCAAGAGCTTTAAAAAGATAAGAATCAACATCTTCGTCGTTGTCACCAACATCGTTGTCAACATCTAACTGTATCACTGCCTCTCCTTTTTTTGTAGACATAGCTAACTGAAAAGTTAGATGTTGAAAACGATGTTGGTAACAACGACAAAGATGTTGATTCTTATTTTTTTAAAGCTCTTGAGTTTTTAAAATAAGAATACGATGTTTTTGAAAACATTTTTATTTTTAACGTAAAAACGTAAACAATGTGGCATCGTAAGAAAAATTAGACATTTGAGTTTGTTTAGGTTGACTTGCAAAAATTGACAAGAAAATCAATGCCGAAGCATGGCCAGGATCCAGATATCGATGTTTACATTGGACATTAAAAAAGCTTTGGCAATCTCTGACGTGCCAGTACGAGTGTATAAGCTTTGGTCCAATCTTATCATTCCAGCGTTGGCACAAGTCTTGGCCGAAGTCCGGGATACATTGCTAAGGTTACCAGTACTGACTCAAGGCTTGCCCGTATTGGCAGCTCTGGCAATAATTTCATAGGATTTGTAAGTTTTGATTCATACTCTATTTTTTTTAATGATCCAACCAGTTCTTAAAATGAAAGGTTTCTTAAAAGGTTTTTGCTTACTCCTGTCTGAAAAGTTACAAATTTTCTAAAATTTTGAAATAAACGTACAGTGAACTCTAGATACTAAGATTCAGTTTTTGAAGTGCTTAATATTTTTGATAATTTTAATGACATAGTTATATGTTTTGTGTTGTAAGAACATCGATAAACAATGTTATTTATTATCATCTTGTGATAATTTGTGCTGTTCTAGCAAACTAAAGTATTTTAAAAAATCATGTTGTTAACTGTTTTGTAATTATGATCTCATTTTATTTAAATTACATTTATGGTAAAAGTCCCTCTTTAAATAATTTTTTCAAACGTCAACTAAACTAAACTAATGCACCTAACAGATTTTCATACAATTATTTTACAAATCAAATTTTTTTCCACTTTAAGCTTCTTTTAAAAAAAAGAGGAAAAATAGGCTTTTTAATTTCTCATAATCTACTAAGGATTTATTTTAATGGTATAAGTAAGATGATTTTTTAACGTAAGATAAAAGAAATTCATACAATTTGGACTTCACGAAGGGACTTTTACACATTTTTTCAACAAGCAATACTGTGTGCTATTTATATAGTAAAAAGACATAAATTTTTTAACTGTCCTGAGTTTACCTACAAGCTTCTATGACTAATACAGTCGTACAGCGAGCCAAGATTAAAAGTATGGCATAATTTAGTTTTCTACTCTATTTATTCTCTCAATTTTTTAACGTTTTTCTAACTTCGATTACTCACTACTTTATGTATTTTCATTCAATACTGTTTGTTAACATGCGTCTTAAATCGAAATATAGAGAAAAGAAGACTCACAATTCAAGTATCCTAAGAATCGTTATGACTGATAACTCAAAAATAACCGTCACTTACTTATCTAAAAAATCTGTTGGTGACAAACCAACTTTAAATTTTAAGTGAGGTATTCTGATAAAATATTAAGCATGTTTTCATTCTTACTAATGAAGCAAGACAGTTGTAAGACCTGCGTTGAAAAATAAAAAATTTTAAAAAAGGTACTTATAATAATATACTTGTAATGATAAAACTGTTATGCATACAGTTTTAGTTAAAAAAGTTGAACTTTCAAAACTATTATATACCAGAGTTAAAAGCATGAATAACATAAACATGCCATAGAAATGCTGTTTGTTAAATAATTTTTTAGCAGGAATAAAGACACTGGGTTACAGATCTCTAACTATTGAGGAAAGATTAACAGTTTTTTATAAGGATAAATATAATATCTAATTTTTTTATGTAGTTAAATAAACAAAATATTTTTTAAATAAAAAATTGTTTTTAATAATAGAAATTTAATAAATACGGGAAATCTGTTATAGGACGTTTACGAGTAAAAGCATGACCAGGGGCGGAATAATGCAAAGTTATCTGACGAAAGATAGCAGTGTCAGTGAAGTTGGCGAAGAGAAAGGGAGCATGATTGGAAAGCCGCTTGGAAAAAGAATTAGTAAAATCATCATTTCATGAGTACTAGTAAGAGCAGTCACTTTCATGGTGTCCTTCTTTCAGTCAACTTTTACCAGCTTTATTGGGTTCAATTAGCATTTATACATAGAAACAGCCACCATCGATACCCATTTCTTCTTTCTGTATCGCTTGCCTCCTAATAGCGTTGATAAATTCTCGAGAACGTTTGATTGAGCTTATAGATGGAGTCAGCTTAATATTTAATAATCCCCTGTTTCCAAAGCAATAAGATCTGATTAGTGATATAATTGGAATACTTTGGTCTCTTTTTCATTGCATTTCTCTCGTCTTTCGTATACCTTAGATTTATAAAATTATAATATTGCAGTAAATGCAATACTGTGCTCGTCTTGCTTCATGCTTTATTTTTAATCAATTTAATGTAGGTTTTTTTGTTAAGAGTACAAAGCAAGTAATAAAAGTAATAGCTTTTTTTAGTAAGCGTGCGCAATACTTGCCTTTGAACTCACAGTTTTCACAAAAAAAGAATTAAGTAGTATGGTATTTATGGGACCATTACGTGTTTAAAGACTATTAAAATTTTTTTGCTGCGTTACTTGCAACTTTATTAAATACAAACTTTCTGAACTGAGAATAATAGTTTTGTTGCACAGCGGGTTGAAGCAATATTTAACTCATTCTCTACTCATAATATCGCACTTAATATACATAGCATTTTTTATTTTGAACCAAAGATAAAATTAGCTATTTAAGTGAGTTACTTATCTCAGGGAGATCTAAGATCAATTAATTCAAAGTTTACATTAATGCTGGGTATGCCTACTTAATTTGTAAATAATATGCATTTTTAATAATTGATTATCTTCATTTGTTATCCGTAAATTATAACGTTTGATTATTATTAACGAATAAAGGCATAAATAGTTTGTACCTCATTTTTCATCCTATCATATTTAAAAAGCTTATATACTGAATAAATACGTTGAATGTTTTTAGTCATAACCTTACACATTTAAAAGGTGAACAATTAAATTTACTTTTATAAACTTGACTTGAAGGAACTTATTACTTGAAGTTTGGAAACGTTGGGAACTAAACCACTCGGTATATGAGGTAGTTGGTTAGAAAAATGTCCTTGCGGAGGTGCTTCGTAGTAAGTTTTATTGTATGCTTTATAAATAGTTTTCTGTGACTGTAATAACTACTTTAAATATTCTATGAAGTACCAAAATGTAACTTTTGAGCTGTACTCTAATTCTGTCAAAATTTTGTTTCAATTGGTTCGTCAGCTTTAAGGACTTTTAAATATACCAATAAATGCTTTCTATTCATACTAAAATTTTTCAGATACAGTGCACTTTTTTAAAACCTTTTAATTAAGGCTAAAGATACATGTGGTACAATAGAGCCAACAACTAAATAATGACTGATGAAAACGACCAACCAGCGTTATACTCGTCTACTCTTTCATTCACTCATTAGTCGCTCTCATGTGTCATTCTTTCTTTGTCGGCTCTATTTTACTGCATGTATCGTGGCAGCCTTAAACCTTGAAATTTTTGTAAAATGAGATTTTTACGACAAAATTATTTGGTATCTTATTGCTTCTTATATAATTTATTTTTCATCACCATCCAACTTGCTATTCATGTTTCTCTTTAAGGCTTTGTTTTTTTTTTTTTTCCAAGTGAATAATAAGTTACTCTTTTTTTTTTCAATTTAATAGAAGAGAATTGTTTTATAGTTTCTATACAAATAAAACAAGCGTGTTTTTTTGTTGTTTTTCTTAATCATTGCCTTCTATTTTGACGGTAAAATGCTTCATTTATTGTGTATTTCATGAAATACAGCGCTTCTTAGTATTTGTAAGGGTGTTAAGTACTTCACACAATACATAAAGTATTATACAAATAATTTGACAAAGAAAGTGTTATTAGCCTCTTTTATCTTACTTAACGTCGACCTAAAAGTGTGAGCATTAAAAATTATAAACAAGAATGAATTTCTTACTTCTTGTGATCATTTCAGTCTTACGAGCATAAATGTGATCTTATGAAAAAGTTCTTTGAAAAAAACCATTTTCTTAGATCTAGAATATATCTCTTAGAAAGAATACGTGAATTTCTCATTTTTCCAGTTGTAGTGGCAAAAAAAGCCGTTTAACTATTTCTCTTATCAGGAAGCTAAGAAATATATTAATTTTTAAAACAAAGTTTAACTTGCGAGGTTAATCTAATTTTACACTCTCAGAGCAGGTAAATTGATTTCATTGTTATAAGCATTTTTTTTTATAAGTTAATAAGAAAAAGGTTGATGCATTACCGTAAGGCATGGTACTATTGTACAACAATGCCACTAAACTAAAATTATAGACAATATGCAACAAACCTGCATTGCACTACCTTTTAATTTACATACTGTTAACCTCCCAATACATATTTTATAAAAAACGTAGGTGAAACTTAAGATAAAAAGTACGCGCATAATACAAAAACCTTTTTTTTTTTTTTTTTTTTCAAACAGGAAAAAAAGTTCTGAAAATATATAATGTAATATCATACCTTTCAGCAGAGTACAGTGTTATATTTGAATTCTTAAGAAAATGTTGCTCAGTAGTTTTCTGCAACAAATGCTCATTTTCAGCCCCAAAACTTATATCTTCACTTTTAAGAGGGTTGATATCCCTAAAAATGTTTCTTCTGTTCGCTCTTGACAGGTATCTTTTTTTATTGGTTTCATGAGAATCACGATGCTTAGAATCTAAATTTCTTTCTCGGTCACTACGAAGCTCTATATTATCATATTCCTCATAGTCTCGACGGTTATATCCTCGAGGACGAACGTTATCATCCTCATCATAATAATATTCATAATAATAATCATATAAAGGTCTACGGACTAATGGTCTTCTTCTGCGAACTGATATATTTCGCTCTTGTAGAGGTACTCTTTCCTTTTTTTCTGTATTTACTAGAACAATAGGTGTTATGATGGGACTTAATGTCGTCGTAGTTGTAGTCTTATAAAGTGCTTCATTTCGATGCCAAAACTTTTTTGAGTTAGTACAATCAACTTCAGAGACGAAGTGACAAATAAAAGTTCTTTGATCAAATGCTGTGAAGTTTGCACAGAGAAAATCATAGCGTGTTCCAAATAAGCAGTGGTGGTAAACCTGTGATGTAAGAATATGCAATTAGTATTATGTACTAAACTTTTTTATACATGAAATGGGCTAAATAATTTTAAGCTAATAAACTATTTAAAGACAGTTTAAGTCGTAAACAATAAATTTTAGTAATATTTGACCAGACCATTGTTTGATTTATCTAGTCATATAAATAAAGGCAAATATAGACATCTACATACTGGAATTCATAAGTTTTATCTACATAAACTCACGTCAGTAAAGTTTTCTGCAAATTGACAAATCACTTACAATGTGGAAATAAGCGTTAAGTAAAACAGCTAGGTATGTTCTCTGTATTTGATAGGGATTTTTTTTTTTGTACGACGAACGGTATTAATAAGTAATTCTTTTATGCAGGCTTTTTTATTTTACTCAAAATAATTTACAAAAACAGTTTTTTTAATAAGAGGAAGCATATATACAATTTTTATAGGAACCCGTCTAAGGTCTAAGCCTTGAAATATTAACGTAGCTCAGCTAATTCTAATTTTTTTTTGCAAGCCCAAAAATTTTACCTGTAGTACAGTGCTCTTTTTTGCTGCATAGTACACATTTTAGATGAGTCTTGCTTTTAGGATGTCTTTTTTTGAAACTATAATATACTTTCTGAATTTTTCACAAAATATTATTCGTTTACTTAAAATGAAGTATGGAATGTAGTAACTTCGTAATATGGTCCATTTATCATTTTTTTCCAATAAAATGGATATAAACGTCCTCGCTTCAATAAGAGTTTTTATCGAAGAAGATCCCTTGGAAATAAGATTCTATTTAATCGTATGCCATAAAGCGAGCTTTTAACAAAGATGCGTGTGTAACTTGATCTGTTAAGCCCATTAAGTATGTTGACATACTTTCTTGGGCAAAAAAATGTCGAATGGTAAGCACCCCTTACAGCAGCTTTTTTTCTGAACCAAGCCAAACCAGTATAGCTAGTAGCACGTAGTGTTTTATTACGAGTAAGATATAACGATGCATCAAGCAGAAAAGAAGAGAGCTTAGGGTATAGCAGAAAAAAGTTCGCCCAGGAACTCTAACAGAAAAAAGGATTATCCAGAACTCATTAGCAAAAAAAGACAAACTCGCATCACTCAAGTGAAAACAACGACAACTGGCTACTTTTAAGTAAAAACAATGCCAACTCACTGCGCTCAAGTAAAACAATCCTGACTCGCTGCGTTTACGTAAAGACAATGTGATTTGCCATACTTTCGTGAAAAAAGGCTGCGCTGCAATAAAAAAAAAATGAATTACTATATTAACTGTGAAAAAAAGTCAACTATATTTTTTGAGAACAGCCTGATTGAAGAAATATATATTCTTTTCTTCAACAAATAAGTGACTGCGTTATTGTGCTGTGGTAGATGAGTGTACGGCAGTTTATTAAAATATTCCTCACATTTGTAGTTTTAATAGTTCGTGTACTATTATAAATAATTTAAATGCAAAAGTTGAATAGCTCTCTTTTTAATAAATTCAAGTCATATTTAACACAATTTTTCTTTGTTTTATAAATGCAAACAAATCATTTGTTAAACTACCGATGGTTAAAAATTTAAACAACTTTTTTATTTACGATTGACACTTGATATGCATGCAAGTCATTGTCTGAATGCGTTGAGTCGTACATTTTTTTGTTGGAGCGCAGTGAGTTGCCATTTTTTTTTCTTGAGTGCTGTGGGTTGACCTATTTTAACTGGAATGCAGAAGGTTGGTATTGTTTTTACTTGAGATCAGTAGGTTGGCATTTTTGACTCACAGGATATGAATACAACTTACTTCCGATGAAGATTATCAGCTGTCCTTTATTTCGTTGAAGTGTATGAGCAACTCTTTTCTTACCTTGAGCGTTGAATTATAGTTTTTCTTTAATTATTAAATGCTTGACTTATTATGACTCTCTTCTTTTATGTTTTTAAAACAACCATTTTTACTTAAGTCACTTTTGTTTGTCTAAAAGGAGTTACTGCTCGTTAGGCTTACCAACCTTGCCTTCTTACTGTGTTAGGGATTTTTTTATACTAAAAAAAAAATTTTCTTATCAGAAAAATTAAAAACCATTTTAAAGGGTGTGAAAAAAAAAAAATTTTTATTAAAAAACCAGATTTAAAAGTTATTGTATGCTCCATACTGTCGTCAAATACTGTGTCATTATTACATTAACACCAATATTTTGTTACAGGCCTCAGATATGTAACAAGACACTGTTCTCTACATAGAAGTGATGCTTTAGTCTATGCAAAACAAAAACATCTCGAGCTCTGTGTCTATAGCGATGAATCCAGAATAAAATCTTTTAGCAGTTGTAAGGCAAATCCAGCTTCTAAGGGTAAGATTTCCCTGGTTTTTAGTTACAGTTTGTTCCAGTAGTTTGGCTTAAGAAATAAGTCTTAGGCTTTTATTTACAAGACAGACGATTTGACTTATGTACGTTAGTTATTGGCAACAAAGTGATTTTTATCTAATCATTTAGTAAATGTAACAGACAATCATTTAGTAAGCTCTTTTACTTCCATCGCTGCACACTTATAATCTTTACTCCAAGGTAATTGGTCAGCTTAATTCGTAATGTATGATTTATTTTGAAACAGATGTATGCCACAAGAGATACCGTTCTTTTCCTCCAATAAGAATCTTGTAACTATTTTAACGTAAGTCAATCTACCAACTAAACAATAATTAAACACGTTGTATTTTTTCTGAAACATCTGTAAGCCTATCTAATTGTATTCAACTTATTTTCTGATGTATTGAAAAGTTATAAGGTGAATAGCTGGTTAAGTCTTAGAAAAATAATATGATTAACTTATGTCATAGTTCTTATGTTTACAGCTGGTTCTCAGTTAGCCAAAGGTTGCTTGCTTTAAGGTCAAAGTACAGTAGTCCAGGCTTTATTGGGTACCGTATCCTATGCTTTTTTTATTTCATGTTGTAAAGAACAAATTATCGGTTAACTACAAAACATTGCTACAAGTTCTTTGGTTAGAATTAACACCTGTGATACCTGTAAAGTATATCAAGTATCACAAAAACTCATTTTGTAGCTGTTGGCAACATTCTTAAGCTGCTAGTATCAGCGTTAACCTGTGAGCATCTGTCTAAATGTATAAATTGTACGTCAAATCAAACGTGACATTAACATCAGCTTGAATTGCATGATTCACACTTTTGTAATCATCATCCGTTTAAAGTCTTAACTTGAGAAAGATATAATAATAGTTAATAAAAAAAAAAAAAATAATAATAATAATAAAAATAATAATAACAATACTGTAAATGATTATAAAAACACTTCTAGGGGGCCAATACAGTATTAAAATTTTTAATTCTAACTGGTGTATAAAAAATATTAAAAGTCTTCATTTTATAAGCAATACATACAATGAGTTCTCAAAAAAAATTAATATTTCATATTATCTAAAAACTTGTGTAAAACAACAATATATACTTAACTTAAAGTAAGTAATAACACTAAACCTATGAAAAATAGCAACTAAGTAATAAATAGTCAACTGTTACTGAGAAATACTATTAAGTTTACATGCACTGAGATACTATTAAGTTTATTTGCACTGAGAATATCCATATTTACTCAAGTAGGTATATTAGTGAATGTATCTGTATGCACTTGATCGTCTAAGTGTATGTACGAGAACATATATCTATGTAAAATATCTGTGTAAAAGAGTTTGAACTTTGTAAGAGCTATCCTGAATTTATATTTCATGAACGATACAACTTTTAATTACAACAATGTTGAAACAAAGTCACTGCTAAAATATAATTATTTTTTTATATTACAGTGATTAACGTCCAGCTTTCCTGTAGATGTATTACTAACTTAGTACTTGGGATGGGGAAATAATTAGGATAGTGTCAGTACATGTAACATAAATATTTGCATTGAACCTGAGCCTCCTGCACTATAAGTCTTTTTTTTAATGAAAGGTTTTATTAACCTCACAATACGTGTGCCACATCAACTCAAACAGTATTTTATTGATACTGATATGATATTATTAACTTGCTAAGAGTCAGTTGCCATCTAAAAGTTTGAGTACATATAACGGTTGGTAACGTAAAAACGTGCGAACAGTAAAAATATACCAATTGCATACACAAGCGTGGCAGAAAACTGCGCTCTTCGAGGAAACCTTGAAGGTTAGTTATGGTTAAAAATTGTAAGTCATGCAGTGCTTCTATCACATGTACTGTAAAAAAGTGCCCATAATTTTCATAAGAACTCCTATTTCAGGATTCCGAACATTTTTTGCCTACCATTAGCTGTATGTTGACTTTACTAGTATTCTGGAATGATTACGAGTTTATGAGTTGGACGTTGTTTTGTTGATGTTGCTGTCTTGAGTGTAACCATTCATTTCAGATTACTTTTTCCTGAATAAGTCTTACATATAAGATGTTGCAAATGAAATTTCGTTGATTTCACTACTGACTTTTAGTTACCCCGCAAGTGAGGGACAGCTGGAGGATTAAAATGCCAAGTAGTACCGTCCTGTGCGAGTATAGCTGAAAGATTTGAGTTGTGAAGTTGGGCTTGTGAGAATAACTGTTGACGAGCCTTATCCGTATTTAAATAATTGGTGTTACAATCTCAGTATAATTTAAAATGAATTTTAAGTCAAGAAATGTGGCATTTATGAGCAGCCAAAATCTGGCTGTTGAGTAATCTGTTACTACCACAAGATAAGTTGTTGAAGTTGAAAAGCAAACAAAGACACGAATCCCGACTTTGTTAGTCTTTGAGCCTCCACCTTTTCAGGAGTTGATGAGGAGAGGACCAGTATAATCCACATCAACATTTGAAAATGGTCCAGAGGGTGTAACCCTGGTCTCTGTCAACGGGCTCATCATTTGTTGTGCTTTTTGTGCTCAATATCTAGCACAAGTAACACAATGAAAGATTAAAAATCAAGCGGAAGCTCTTTTGCCTACGGTCTAAGATTCTGGACGAGTTTGGCTAAGTG